GGGAGGAGTTTCAAGGCCCTCTCGGCCCCCACGGCGCCCTCCCTTCGCCTCGCCGGCTGAGGCACGAAGCCGCGGCCCTCGACACAAAGCGGGGCCTGGGTCGCCTTCAGACCCCTCCCCGACCCCCCCCCCCCAATTCCCCTCAGGAGGCGGCAGAGGACACGGACCTACTGTGAGCGCGGCCACCGAGCGGGCTCCGCTGACGCGACGACATGGCCCGAGCCGGATAAAAACAGAAAATAGCCGCTCTTTTCTCCCTCAGCGCCTCGCTCCCGCCGCCTGCCTTCCTTCCCTCCCGCCAAACAAGAAACGACTGCGCTCCCCTCCCTCAAGCGAGCCTCTAGAGACAGAGAGCGCCTGCGCGAACACCGGCTGGGCGGCTCCTACCATTAGGGGCGCGCGGCGGGGGGGGGTGTTGTCCTTGTCACGCGGTTTCGCCTTCGCGGAGAGCAAGCCGCTTTGGCGAGATATGCGTGTATGTGATGTGTGTATAACCCAGTTTAGCAAGGGGGAGGGGCAAAAGCGGCAGTCTCGATTCCCCCCCTCTCTCCCCTCATAGATTAGTAACCCCCCCCTCAGCGATGAAGGTGGTACGTCCCCCCAAGGGCTGCGCCAATGGGAGCTTCTTCTGAGCTGCCTGCTCCGCCCCGCCCCCCGCCCCGCACAGAAGCGCGCGCTTCCCTTTGTCTGCCGGTTTTGCCTCGCTTTTCAAAGGCTCCGCCCACTCGGCGGGATCAGTTGGCGGGAAGGTCTGAAATGCAAATACACAGACATACGACAAATGGCAAAAAGAGGCAATGCCCCTGATAGAGCTAGATTTACGTATAAGCTAAACAAGCTATAGCTTAGGGCCCCACTCTCTTGCCCCCCCCGGCAAATTTAAAGGGGAAAAAACCTGGATGTACATTTCCTAAATATAAAATACAGTGGTACCTCAGGTTACATACGCTTCAGGTTACAGACTCCACTAACCCAGAAATATTACCTCGGGTTAAGAACTTTGCTTCAGGATGAGAACAGAAATCATGCTCCAGCGGCGTGGTACTAGCAGCAGCAGGAAGCCCCATTAGCTAAAGTGGTGCTTCAGGTTAAGAACAGTTTCAGGTTAAGAACAGACCTCCGGAACGAATTAAGTACTTAACCTGAGGTATCACTGTAAAATAAAACCAATATACAGCAACAGTTTTTTGTTTTGTGTTGGGTAGGCTCCAATGATGTACATCTTTTGTTATGTGCAAATGGCTTTAGATACCTATTAGGTCCATAAGTTACCATATTGCATGTAAAGGTAAAGGTAAAGGTACCCCTGCCCGTACGGGCCAGTCTTGCCAGACTCTAGGGTTGTGCGCCCATCTCACTCAAGAGGCCGAGGGCCAGCGCTGTCCAAAGACACTTCCGGGTCACGTGGCCAGCGTGACAAGCTGCATCTGGCGAGCCAGAGCCGCACACAGAAACGCCGTTTACCTTCCCGCTAGAAAGCGGTCCCTATTTATCTACTTGCACCCGAGGGTGCTTTCGAACTGCTAGGTTGGCAGGCGCTGGGACCGAGCAACGGGAGCGCACCCCGCCGCGGGGATTCGAACCGCCGACCTTTCGATCAGCAAGCCCTAGGCGCTGAGGCTTTTACCCACAGCGCCACCCGCGTCCCACCTATATTGCATATAGTCAACACAAAAAACAGCCACAATTATTTGTTGACGAAAGGACAACTGGACATATAAAGGGCCCTTCAGTAGCTTAGGGCCTCATCAAACCTAAATCTGGTCCTGGCCCCTGGCCTGTTTTGTTTGTTTACTCCAAGTCAGCCTACTACTGAGCATAGGTAAAGGTAAAGGGACCCCTGACCATTAGGTCCAGGCGTGACCAACTCTGGGGTTGCGGCGCTCATCTCGCTTTATTGGCCGAGGGAGCCGGCGTACAGCTTCCGGGTCATGTGGCCAGCAAGACAGCCGCTTCTGGCGAACCAGAGCAGCGCACAGAAACGCCGTTTACCTTCCCGCCGGAGAGGTACCTATTTATCTACTTGCACTTTGAGGTGCTTTCAAACTGCTAGGTTGGCAGGAGCAGGGACCGAGCAATGGGAGCTCACCCCGTCGCGGGGATTCGAACCACCAACCTTCTGATCGGCAAGTCCTAGGCTCTGTGCTTTAACCCACAGCGCCACCCGCGTCCCACTACTGAGCATACTTAGTCCTTATTGAGTTTTTTTTTGTTCCCCTCCCCTTAAAATTCCCATTTATTTAAAAACGTACTCCTGCAATCCTTGACGATCACCCCAGTGACGATAGCACTGTCTTTGTGCGTGGATAGTACAATTCTGGCAATATACTTGCACGGAGATAATTTCCTCGTTTCCATGGGACCACAGCCATGTGATTACCAAATCATGTCCTTACATTGAGGCAATAAGCAGTACAGGCAAGTCAGGCAAGGAGAGTAACTGCAGCGCAGCAGACTCAAGTCACAGAAATGCCAGGGAGACGAGAGTTGGTGGCATTGTCAAAAGGCACCCAGCAAGCAAGGGATAAGAGGAGCTCTTCAATCCTTAAGTGGTTCATCTAAACCAAAAAGAACATTAAGTCCCAGGAAGCCCAGAGAATTGTTTTGATTACACCAGTGAAACTAAGGGACCCTGAATATCCAGAAGAACACTTGTGTGCGCACTCTCTCTCTCTCTCTCTCTCTCTCTCTCTCTCTCACACACACACACACACACACACACACACGGACAGTGTAAAGGACCCCTGGATGGTTATGCCCAGTCAAAGGAAACTGTGGTTGCGGTGTTCATCTCACTTTTAGACCAAGGGAGCCAGCATTTGTCCCCAGCTTTCTGGGTCATGTGGCCAGCAGGACCAAACAGCTTCTGGCGCAATGGCACAACATGACGGAAACCAGAGTGCACGGAAACCCCGTTTACCTTCCCGCTGCAGCGGTACCTATTTATCTACTTGCATTAATGTGCTTTCGAACTGCTAGGTTGGCAGGAGCTGGGACAGATACACACACCCTCTCTCTCTTCTGCCCGGCGGGTTTGTGCATTGCTAATTATCCATAACAAGCAAATACAGAAGCAACAAAAATGAATTTATGTATACTAAGGAAGTGAAAAAACATGGAAGGTTGCAATACATCGGGGGGGGGGGGACGGACAAAGAAGGTAGTATTACAGAGGACCCTGGACACGATCTTTTATTTCATACAAGAAACAGATGTTGGAGAAATGTTTCCAGTGTGTCCCTGCCAATCCTTCAGAGTGGATCCTCCTTCAGAGCACCCTCAAAGACCCACTAAAAGATCACAACATGAGTTACTTGCCAGAGTGAAGGATCAATACTGAGGAAACAGGCAGTTGCCCCATGGCAGTTACCCATAACAGTTGAGAACTAGAATTGCATGTCTCTTCACAGTGTGGAGTCTTTGCCCATTTTCCATGAGGGGAGCTGGAGAAATAGCGTACAATGGCAAAATAACAGAACACAAAACAATTCTTGAGCAATCCTCCGGCAAAACTGCAGGGTGATCCCACAAGCAAGAGCTGGATAATCCTCCAATTTAAATCACTGCCAAGCGAGTGGAAGACAAAAGAGTTGAAACTGCAGATCAACGCCTGCTTCTGGTTCCCCTCCAGTGGGCAGCTCTACAAGACACACAGGTACTTGTAAGGATCCACTCTGAAGGATTGTAAGGCACCTAGGCAGAGGCACCTATCAAAGGAAATATTCAGGGCATAGACCAACAAAATACAGTGGTGCCTCGCAAGACGAAAAGAATCCGTTCCGCGATTCTCTTCGTCTAGCGGTTTTTTCGTCTTGCGAAGCAAGCCCATTGCCGGCTAAGCGGATTAGCGCTATTAGCGATTTAGCGGCTTTTCGCGATCAGCTGTTAAGCGGGTTATCAGCGGAACAGCTGATAGGCGGCTTAGCGGCTTAGGAAAAGGGGGGGGAAGCGGGGGGAAACCCACGGGGACGCGCAAGATTTTTTCGTCTTGCGAAGCAACCCCATAGGGAAATTCGTTTTGCGAAGCGCCTCCAAAACGGAAAACCCTTTCGTCTAGCGGGTTTTCCGTCTTGCGAGGCGTTTGTCTTGCGGGGCACCACTGTAGCAATGAAGATGCTTTCCGTGTTTTCACAACCCCGATAACCACTGTGACCTTGTCTACCGAGGCAATACATAGGTGTAATCCATAAGGACTTGTCCATCTGCTCCTGCTGGAATAGTACAAATGCATTAGAGGCAGAGAGCAGCTCCAGCCTAATGGTGTACACCCAGATGGCAACTGGGTGCTAGTAAAGGTAAAAGGACCCCTGACCGTTAGGTCCAGTCGCGGACGACTCTGGGGGTTGCGGGGCTCATCTCGCTTTATTGGCCGAGGGAGCCGGCGTACAGCTTCCGGGTCATGTGGCCAGCATGACTAAGCCGCTTCTGGCGAACCAGAGCAGCGCACGGAAACGCTGTTTACCTTCCCACCAGAGCGGTACCTATTTATCTACTTGCACTGGTGTACTTTCGAACTGCTAGGTTGGCAGGAGCAGGGACCAAGCAACGGGAGCTCACCCCGTCGCGGGGATTCGAACCGCTGACCTTCTGACTGGCAAGCCCTAGGCTCTGTGGTTTAACCCACAGAGCCACCCACATCCCAACTGGGTGCTACTGGAGTTCAAAATGCTCAGGGAAACCTGCCCCTTGTATAATGAGACCACAAGGCACTGCCTTAATATGAGCAACAGATCAGAATTATGTTTCAATTTATGAGACAGTGGCCAAGTGTTCTTGTTTCCTGGAACTGAATGTAAACAGACTTACTGCGGCTTGTTGTATTTTCCCACATCATAGCAGTAGGAAGAATAGTAACTGCATGTCAGCTAAACTAGCCTCAAGGTTAGTAAGGTTAAGAACATATCTTATACATGTGAAAACAAGTTACGGAGGTGGGATAGGGGAAATCCAATCAGCAGGCATTTTAAATAAGTGAAGTTCAATTTCATACATACTAAGGGTAAGTGAACTGTGATCCTTCTCATTTAATAATGGGAAGCCTCTGAAGATCAAGGAAAAGCAAGTGCAGAGATCCCATAAAGATTAATATTGATTTACAAAGTAATATGATTGCATTTTTAAGATGCTAATCTATTTACAATAGTTTGTATCTCGTGCACAATTGGTCTATTTGGTGTCTCATCTGAATCCCAAGCATTAAAAGCTGGGACAGCAACAAACATTAAAAAGTTCTGACCTAAAGATTTTCTGATACATATTCCATGACTAACAGAAATTGTCCCATATTTCCCAGAATCCCAGGCAACTATGGTACTTATACATCTTAGTTAATGAATTTAAAAGGGGGAAAGACCATACAACATTTATTCTTGCAAAATCAGATGTTCTATTCCAGGGCAAGTATTTGAGACTTCTGTTTCAAGAGAGAAAGCATCCATGTAATACTAGATTCCTGAAACCTTAACACGTGTACTTTTATACTGCGACTTTTATTCTGATTTCAGGCATAATACAATTGTGATCAGTTCACCAGCCCAGATGAGACTGGTTATGTATTGTTTAATAGGCAAGCCCCCAACCACTACTGAGCAGATGGGCTCCTCCTTCTTCTTCTAATATGCTATGTAGCCAAGAGCTGAACTGATTGGCTGTATTGCTCAAAAAAGTTAAATTGATGATCACCCCATTTTGTGCTACGTATTTCAACCTGAACAGGTCTCGTGAAGATAGTGGCCAGAACTGTTCCCTCCACTGCTAGATTATGTGGGGAGACTATTTCTGGCATCCCACCCCCTCACCCCTGTGTTTCTCCCAACCCTCCAAAGCAGATGGGAGGAGGCAGTGTAATCAATGGAAATTGCCTCTTCCCTGTTCCACTAGTGGAAAGGACAGCTTTGAAGGCCACAGGGTTCCCTAATTCTGCTTCAGTAGAGGTCTGATGCGATTCTAAACTATCACTCAATATTTAATGTAACCAGAGGGAGTAGCCAAAGCTGGTGAAAATAACCATTTTCCGTTGTTTGGTTGCAGCAATTAAAAAACTGAACCAATAGAAAAATAATCAGAAAGACAACAAAGAGAAAGTCCCCATGAACAGAATAATAAAAAGTAAACAGCAGGTGGAGTCATCCACCTTTGAAGTACGTTCAGATTCAAGGAGTGTTCCGGGACCTGTTCATCGTATAACACAAACATCTAAAATGCAGAATTTGGCTCTGCAGGTTGGGCAAGGCACACGGCTTGAAAGCCAGGTTTCTGGGTGCTGCTGGTCTTGCCGGCTGGCAAACCATTTGCCCATGCAAGTCAGGCACCACATGGGACGACAGTAGCATTGTTGGCACTCGCCTTCATTCGGCTCTTGACAATTCTTCAGAAGCTTGACATTTGCAGTAGTTTGCATACACCCAATGCATGGGTCTAGCTCCTGCAGACAGAGAGAGGAAAAAATACGTCACAATATAATTATTAAAAGGTAAAGGTACCCCTGCCCGTACGGGCCAGTCTTGACAGACTCTAGGGTTGTGTGCCCATCTCACTCAAGAGGCTGGGGGCCAGCGCTGTCCGGAGACACTTCCGGGTCACGTGGCCAGCATGACATCGCTGCTCTGGCAAGCCAGAGCCGCACACGGAAACGCTGTTTACCTTCCCGCCAGTAAGCGGTCCCTATTTATCTACTTGCACCCGGGAGTGCTTTCGAACTGCTAGGTTGGCAGGCGCTGGGACCGAACAACAGGAGCACACCCCACCGCGGGGATTCGAACTGCCAACCTTTCGATTGGCAAGCCCTAGGCGCTGAGGCTTTTACCCACAGTGCCACCCGCGCCCCAGAATATAATTATTATGTTTCATTTAATACATAGTGTCGTCAATGTACATGACACTTGACAGGATGTCATAAGAACACAAAAAGAAAGGGGGGGAGAGAAAGAAACTCATGATCTGCCTGAAGTAACCAACTAATTTTTTCCGTCACTGTTACCACAAATGATTGCCACAAATTTAAACGCCACCTAGTGACATGATTTTGGGGTGTTCTCACCTTAGGCTGTTACTGGGTAAAAGTCATCTGCACCTGGGTTCTGCCACTCATGAGAAAATGTATACGCATGGTGAATTTTAAATTCATGACATCTAGCTAGCTGCTGTCCATGGAGTTTTCTTGGCAGGGATACTGGAGTGGCTTGCCAGTTCCTGCTCCAGGTGGATCACGTTTGGTCAAAACTCTCCACTATGACCTGTCCATCTTGGGTGGCCCTGCACAGCATAGCTCATAGCTTCTCTGAGTTATTCAAGCCCCTTCGCCACGGCAAGGCATTGGGAAAGGAGTACGGCAAGGCTGCATATTGTCTCCCTGCTTATTTAACTTATATGCAGAAATCATCATGCGAAAGACTGGGCTGGATGAATCCCAAACCGGAATTAAGATTGCCGGAAGAAATATCAACAACCTCAGATATGCAGATGACACAACCTTGATGGCAGAAAGTGAGGAGGAATTAAAGATCTTTTGAATGAGGGTGAAAGAGGAGAGCGCAAAATATGGTTTGAAGCTCAACATCAAAAAAACGAAGATCATGGCCACAGGGCCCATCACCTCCTGGCAAATAGAAGGGGAAGAAATGGAGGCAGTGAGAGATTTTACTTTCTTGGGCTCCATGATCACTGCAGATGGTAACAGCAGCCACAAAATTAAATTTCTTGGGGAAAAAGCAATGACAAACCTAGACAGCATCTTAAAAAGCAGAGACATCACCTTGCCAACAAAGGTCTGTATAGTAAAAGCTATGGTTTTCCCAGTAGTGATGTATGGAAGTGAGAGCTGAACCATAAAGAAGGCTGATCGCCGAGGAATTGATGCATTTGAATTCTGGTGCTGGAGGAGACTCTTGAGAGTCCCATGGACTGCAAGAAGATCAAACCTATCCATTCTGAAGGAAATCAGCCCTGAGTGCTCACTGGAAGGACAGATCGTGGAGCTGGAGGCTCCAATACTTTGGCCACCTCATGAGAAGAGAAGACTCCCTGGAAAAGACCCTGATGTTGGGAAAGATGGAGGGCACAAGGAGAAGGGGACGACAGAGGACGAGATGGTTGGACAGTGTACTCGAAGCTACCAACATGAGTTTGACCAAGCTGCGGGAGGCAATGGAAGACAGGAGTGCCTGGCGTGCTCTGGTCCAACAACAACAACAAAGCTAGCTGTTCCTTGGAAATAGCTGTTATTCTATTTAGCCATGAGTCTTTCTTACCGATTTGTCCACTTAGCTATAAGCTCCCCACCCCCTGAACATTTTCAGTAAAAGTTTTAAAGCTTTTTGACACCCACTGAAGGAGAACTCCTCCCATCAGCTGAATTTCCAGCAAGCGTTTTTCAAAATGACTTTAAAAATATTTTTAATGCCTTATAAACCACAATCCAAGATACATTTCCTTGGAAGTAAATCCCAATGAAGCCGCTTGGACTTACATTTGAGTAAACAGTTGGCTCACGTAGAAGATGCATGATTTTTACAAGCCTAGCTATGCATACAGTGAAGGAAAAAAGTATTTGACCCCCTGCTAAATTTGCCCGTTTGCCCTCTGACGAAGAAATGACCAGTCCATAATTTTAATGGTAGGATTATTGTAGCTGTGAGAGACAGAACAACAACAGGAAAAACCCCAGAAACCCAGAATACATAAGTAAGATTGATGGGCATTATAATGAGTAAAATAAGTATGGGTGGCGCTGTGGGTTAAAGCCTCAGCGCCTAGGGCTTGCCGATCGAAAGGTCGGCGGTTCGAATCCCCGCGGCGGGGTGCGCTCCCGTCGTTCGGTCCCAGCGCCTGCCAACCTAGCAGTTCGAAAGCACCCCCGGGTGCAAGTAGATAAATAGGGACCGCTTACCAGCGGGAAGGTAAACGGCGTTCCGTGTGCTGCGCTGGCTCGCCAGATGCAGCTTGTCACGCTGGCCACGTGACCCGGAAGTGTCTGCGGACAGCGCTGGCTCCCGGCCTATAGAGTGAGATGAGCGCACAACCCCAGAGTCTGTCAAGACTGGCCCGTACGGGCAGGGGTACCTTTACCTTTACCTTTTACCAGGCTACCTGGTATCTTCACTGTATGTAATGAGCTGAGATTAGAAGCACCTGCTGTAAGGGAGAGGTCTTACCTGTAATCCCAGCTCCTTACAGTACCTGTACAAAAGACACCTGTCGACGGAAGCAATCATTCCAGCAGTACTAGAGCATTACTTTAAAAAGCTAAAGGGAAATACATGGGGGTTTTTTGCTTGTGGTAACTTTGGAGGAACTATTCTGTCTCCTTTCTGCTTCCAAAACTGCTTCCAAAGAAGGGCTTTGCAACTGAAAACCCTGAACCTCCCTGAACTGTCAATGCCCAAAGAACCAGTCATAACAAAGCACACACATCTAGATCAGTGTTTCCCAACCTTTTTTGGGCAAAGGCACACTTGTTTGATGAAAAAAATCTTGAGGCACACCACCATTACAGCCCCGTGACGTCAGCGCGCAGCGTCACGCCGGGAGGGAAGGGCGCCGGGGCGCTGCTGCTGCTGCTGCCGCCGCCGCTCCCGGCAGGCATGGGCCCAGCTGAGGCGGCGGCGGCTGTTGTGGTGGTGGCGGCGATAGCGGGCGGAGGAGGGGGCGGCGGCGGGTGGAGCAGGAGGGCGGCCGAGGCCGGTGAGGGAGTAGGGTTGCCCGGGGCTTGAGGAGCCGTCGCCGGGAGTTGCTGCTGCTGCTGTTGCTGCTGCTGCCCGGACATGCCGGCCTCCTCCTCGTCCGCTGTCTCGCGCTCCTCCCTTTTGCGCGCGCTGCCCCGCCGCCGCCCCATTGGCCGGGTCCTGTCAGCTGATCCTGTGTTATTTCCTGTGTGTGTGTGTGAGGGGAGAATGGAGAGAGAAACCTCGGCACCACCACCGCGGAGCCGCCCCCGGCTCGACACGGATCCTCGCCGCCGCCCCGCCTCTCGCCGCCCGACTCGCCCGCCTCCCTCCCACGGCACACCAGGCAACGTCTCGCGGCACACTAGTGTGCCGCGGAACACCGGTTGGGAAACACTGATCTAGATAAAGGATTGGATCCAAAAATAAACAAACTTGAAGTTCCTGGAAGGAAATTTTCTACAGTCTCCTCAAAAGCCAATCAGTTCTTTAGATTAATTAGCAATTCGCCAATGGTTAGATAGCAGAACAGTAACTCAGATTTGTTAGGAGACTTGACAGCTGAATCCTGTTTATCAGAGGGGCCTTGAAGATTAAAGCATTCCCACAGACAACCAGATTCTTTGAGTTGTAAATTAACCAGATAACCCATTCACACTGAATCCACCAGGACAGCCAGGTGTCAAGAAGCACAAATCAACTAGAAACCCCCTTTCCTACTGAGAAAGGAGACACCCAATTTACACTTCTGAAGACAAAAATTCGGCAATTAAAGAACCAGATACACTTTCCCAGAATTCTATAGTGTTTGGCTCTCCCATAATGCTCTCCTTTGGCATGAGCCAAAGTTTTAACTTGCTAAAAGTTCCCAACTTCACTACAGCCTGTTTCAGTCACTCACACAGGGATACTAAAAACTTATAGTAGATGGAATTCAACTGAACCGTTCTGCTTGCACTTTTGGCTGTGCAGCAGAAATTCCTCTCCTTTCCTTGCACATTCACCAAATAGGTTCTGAGCTTCCCCCAGTCAAATTTAGGGGATACTTGAGAAGAGGGGAGGAATGTTCTGCCGTGCAGCAAGAAGTGCTCGTATTAGTGGAACTGTGTAGTTTAGTTGGATATTGTCCCCATTGCTGAACTTGCTATATGCAAAATATTGGTTTTTAAATGGCCAAGTGCATGCTTAAGATATAACGCATTTTTCGCTCTATAGGATGCACTTTTCCCCCTCCAAAAATGAAGGGGAAATGTGTGTGCGCCCTATGGAGCAAATGCAGGCTCCTTGGCTTCAGCGATAGCAATGCAAAGCCTCCGAAGCGCAGAGGGAGCGCTCCCTCCACGCTCCGGAGGCTTCACGTTGCTTTCGCTGAAGCCTGGAGAGCGAGAGGAGGCGGTGCACACTGACCCCTCTCGCTCTCCAGGCTTCAGGGATAGCCGCCTGAAGCCTTCGGAGCGCAGTGCGAGTTCCCGCTGCACTCCAGAGGCTTCAGGTTCCTTTTGCTGAAGCCAGGAGAGCAAGACTCTCCTGGCTTCAGCAGAGAGGGAGAGCTGCGCAGCGCCCCTTCAGCCAAGCGGGAGGAGAAATGGAAGGGGCTCCGTTTCTCCTGCAACTTCGCTGAAGGGGCGCTGAGCAGAGAGGGGGAGATTTTTTTTTCCTTGTTCTCCCCCTCTAAAACAAGGTGCGTCCTATGGTCGGGTGCATCCTATAGAGCGAAAAATACGGTACTTCAGAAGATATGAAGCAGATCCTGTCACCTGAGGCTATTTTTTTAAAAATAACTTTTATTTTGCTTTTAACAGGTACATATAAACAGGTACATATAAATATAGACAACCAACATTACAAAGGAAAATTCCTTAATAGTAATGGGGAAGAAACTACAAAAACTATCAAAGTACATGACACAGAACATAAGCAACTATGGGAAAGATAAAAGAAAAGAAACAAGAAAAAGGAAGATGAGCCAAAGCAGGAAAGCTCATCTTTTGTACACTTCCGTCAAGCTCACAACAGATCATTATTCTTATCAATTAACCTCTTATCAATTAACTCTTATCAATTAACCTGAGGCTATTTATATTCAACAGGGAAGCTGGTATTTGGCAACATACTCTAGGTTTAGAAGAAGAAGAAGAAGAGTTTGGATTTGATATCCCGCTTTATCACTACCCGAAGGAGTCTCAAAGCGGCTAACATTCTCCTTTCCCTTCCTCCCCCACAACAAACACTCTGTGAGGTGAGTGGGGCTGAGAGACTTCAGAGAGAAGTGTGACTGGTCCAAGGTCACCCAGCAGCTGCATGTGGAGGAGCGGGGAATCGAACCCGGTTCACCAGATTATGAGTCTACCGCTCTTAACCACTACACCACACTGGCTCTCATAGTGTCATAATCTACCAACTTGCCCACTCTCCACCAACTATGAAATAAAGGCAACACGGAAAAATAAGTTATAATCTCCAATCTTGAACCTACCTGATTGCTTGAAACACTGTATGCCTGATTAGTCTCTACCAAAGAGGTAAAGGTTTCCAGAAACAAGTCACTGAGGCTCTGATGTATGACCACATTAGCAGCATTACGGATGGGAGCATGGAGCTTTTCTCTCAGTTCGCCATATTCTGTTGAATTCAGCCTAAGACAGATAGAGTTTCATATCAGCCATTTGCAAGTGTAAAAGAAATTGTACTTTGTATTTTACACGTGAGCTTTACAGAAAGGAGACACAGTCTCAAATACCAAGGCTACTTTTATCTCATTTTAATTACAGACTAGGAACAAATCCATACTGATTTTGCAGCATATTATATAAAAAAATCACAACCAAATTTCAACTTTTGTTTTTCAGTGGGTTATTTAAATGTCTTACATGACCGAAAACTCTCACTAGCATCAAATGTGTTTGCATATGACTCACAACGTTTTATGTATTCATTTGTGCCTCCTCAAACTGGAGGAAAATGTTTTGTTAATGTCTCCTCCATTGATTTGAAAAGCACTTTTAAAATGACTAGGTTGAACACTGATATCCTGCCATTAAGTGGTTCAAGCTATGCTAGGGAAAACACTCAGGTGTCTAACACTCGGGCAAACGCTCAGGTGTCTAACATAATATACCAGTGTTAAAAGTACAGTATCTGCATTGGTTAAGTTCAAGGTTTTGTGGCTATTTAAAGCCCAAAACAACTTGGGACCAGGATGCTTAGCAACCCACCTCCCACAAGTACAAACCAAGCCAATCTTTATGATCAGAGGAGATCCTATTGGCTGTTTCACAGCCAACAGATTGTCACTTGATGGAAACAGGCCTTCTTGGCGATAGCACCCAACCTCTGGAATGCCCTCACTTGAGTAACTTGTGAGCAACAGGCAATAGAGACCTTTAAAACCTCTTAAAATCTTATGTTTACCCAAGTTTTCCTGAGCTCTGAATATATTTAATTGAAAGAAATGGTACCAAATTATCACATATAGGCAATCTTGCTTTAAAAAAACAGCTCTAACCAAGAGATAGTGGAATATTGTATTGAGATCACATTGACAAAACTTTAAAAAAATGCCCATTTTACCGGATAGTGAAAGGTTTCACATGAGGATTAATACTGGCAACACGAATCGTGAGGAACTGGGCAGGCATGTTTGAGTCTGGCAAGAGTTCATGCTGTCTGGAGTCCACCACAGTTAGAAAGATGTCTCGCTGCTGCGCAATATGTAGACAGTATGTGGTCACTTTCATGATCCAGGTGTCTGTAACAATTACTCGGGCTCCCGGGGCTCCCGTAGCAAACTTGTCAATCCTCCTGAATTCGATGTTGATAGAGGAAGCCACTGCCCTCCAGCCTGACTGTGGGAGGGCATAATGGGAAAGGGTCTTGACTAATGGGTGGTTATTCCAGCCATTTCGTGACCAGTAATATATCAGGATACCAGCAATGGTTGGGGCAAGAACAGCCAGCAATAAAAAGACTCTCCAGCCTTCTGGAGCCTGATAAAAACTGCAAAGTTGTTTCTCGGGCGCTGCAAAGCACATGCCAGCATAGTAACCTGCAAGGGAGAAAAAAAGTACTTTTAGGAGAGAGAGAGAAAATAACCTGACATACATGTAAAAGGTAATGGTAAAGGGACCCCTGACCATTAGGTCCAGTCGTGGCTGACTCTGGAGTTGCGTGCTCATCTCGCTTTATTGGCTGAGGGAGCCAGCGTACAGCTTCCGGATCATGTGGCCAGCATGACTAACCCGCTTTTGGCGAACCAAAGCAGCGCACGTTTACCTTCCCGCCGGAGCAGTACCTATTTATCTACTTGCACTTTGATGTGCTTTCGAGCTGCTAGGTTGGCAGGAGCAGGGACCGAGCAACGGGAGCTCACCCCGTCGCGGGGATTCGAACTGCCAACCTTCTGATTGGCAAGTCCTAGGCTCTGTGGTTTAACCCACAGCGCCACCCGCGTCCCTACACATACATGTAGGTGTTACTTAAAGCTTCCAACAAGAACCTAACATCTTGACAGTTCACATTTCAGACACTGAACTTCCACATATCCTTCTCTCATTGTAAACGCTCTTCCCCCTGCTGCACTTTCATCCCCAGAAAACTGTGCCTTATCTACACTGTGATAGGGTAGTCAGGGAGGGGGAAATAGCTGTCAACTTACAGATTTGAAAATAAGGGGCCAGCAGCCTCGAAAATAAGGGATCAGCAGCCAAAATAAGGGATCAACAATTACTTTGATGAAATACATATTTTGTTGCGTGCAAATGGCTTTGGGTCCATAAATTACCATATAGCATGTATTCAACACAAAAAAAACAGCAGCAATTTGTTGTTGACAAAGGACAGCTGGACATAGAAAGGGCCCCATTACCTTCAGCAGCTTATTTAAGGGTCATCATAAATAAGGGACAGCAGCGGGACATGGCGCTGGGATAAGGGACTGTCCCGCCAAATAAGGGACGCTTGACAGCTATGGAGGGGAAAGAGAGAACCTTACTTGAACTTCCCTTCCAACCATCTCTTTTACATGCGTCTCAAAGCAACAAGCAAGGCAAAACCTTATATGGCAGGCTTAGTTTTTCTACAGGTGTAGAGCGGAGGAGAGAGAGCAGCGAAGGAGAAACAGAAAAAAAGGGAGCAACCGCTTAGGAACTTTTCCCCAGCGCACATGTTCGTGGGGCCCTCTCCCCAGGCCTGAACCATCTCTGGACATTCAACCATCTCTGGACTTTCCAATTGTGGAGGGCACTGTTTTTGTTTGTTACTATTTTTATTTCATTTATTGAATTTACATCTATACCAAGAGGTCTCAGGGACGTTCACAGAATGTCCTGCATTTTTGCGCTTTTAATATTGCAAACCACCCTGTGATCCTAGAGTGAGGGCAGGGCCGGATTTAGGTTTGATGAGGCCCTATGCTACTGAAGGTAATGGGGCCCTTTATATGTCCAGCTGTCCTTTGTCAACAACAAACTGCCACTGTTTTTTGTGTTGAATGTATGCTAAATGGTAATTTATGGACCAAATAGGTATCTAAAGCCATTTGCACATAACAAAATATGTAATTTATCAAAGTAATGGTTGAACTGAAATAAAATTAAGAAGAAGCATATTAATAGTTCTAGTTACAGGTAGGTAGCTGTGTTGGTCTGATGTAGTCAAAACAAAATAAAAAAATTGTTTCAACTACGGCAGACCAACACGGCTACCTACCTGTAAGTAGAACTATGGAAGGCACCACATTGGCATCTGAAGAAGTGAGCATGCACATGAAAGCTCATGCCAATAACAAACTTAGTTGGTCTGTAAGGTGCTTCTTAAGGGACACGGGTGGCGCTGTGGGTTAAACCACAGAGCCTAGGACTTGCCGATCAGAAGGTCGGCGGTTTCAAATCCTCATGACGGGGTGAGCTCCTGTTGCTCGGTCCCTGCTCCTGCCAACCTAGCAGTTCAAAAGCACATCAAAGTGCAAGTAGATAAATAGGTACCGCTCCGGCAGGAAGGCAAACGGCGTTTCCCTGCGCTACTCTGGTTCGCCAGAAGTGGCTTAGTCATGCTGGCCACATGACCTGGAAGCTGTACGCCGGCTCCCTCGGCCAATAAAGCGAGATGAGCGCCGCAACCCCAGAGTCAGCCACGACTGGACCTAATGGTCAGGGGTCCCTTTACCTTTAAGGTGCTACTGGAAGGATTTTTTTATATTAATAGTGAAATACAATTTTTTTCCTTTAAACTTTTTTAGGGGCCCCCAAGAGAGTGGGACCCTAAGCTATAGCTTGTGTGGCTTATACCCTGGCACTGGACCGTGAGGGGCAGTATAGAAAGATGATGATAATGATAATGATAATAATAATGATCCAAAGAAATAAATAATAATAATAGTCCAAAGAAATAAACAATAATAATAATAGTCCAAAGAAATTAATAATAATAATAATAATAATAATAATAATCCAAAGAAATAAATAATAAGAATAAAATTTTAGGGGCCCCCAAGAGAGTGGGGTGCTAAGCTATAGCTTGTGTGGCTTATACCCTGGCACTGGACCGTGAGGGGCAGTATAGAAAGATGATGATAATGATAATGATAATAATAATAACGATCCAAAGAAATAAATAATAATAATAGTCCAAAGAAATAAACAATAATAATAATAGTCCAAAGAAATTAATAATAATAATAATAATAATAATAATAATAATAATAATAATAATCCAAAGAAATAAATAATAAGAATAAAATTTTAGGGGCCCCCAAGAGAATGGGGTGCTAAGCTATAGCTTGTGTGGCTTATACCCTGGCACTGGACCGTAAGGGGCAGAATAGAAAGATGATAAGAATAATAATAATCCAAATAAATAAATAATAATAATAATCCAGAGAAATAAATAATAATGATCCATAAAAATTAATAATAATAATAATCCAAATAAATAAATAATAATAATAATAATAATCCAAATAAATAAGTAAATGGCAGGGCAAATGGTGAGGGGCCCGCCCTTCCCCTCCTCCCCCCCGCAGCCCCCTCTCCCTCCCTCCCGCTCACGCACCCAGGGGCAGGAGGGCGTGGGCCAGGAGAGTGGCGGCGCCGCGCCGGAGGTGGTACTGGACGAAGGCCGCGTCCTCGCTGCCCAGCCAGCCGCCCAGCAGGTTCTGCACCGTCAGCCCGGCCAGGTGGAACTCGTTGGGCGGGAAGACGAAGCAGACGGCCAGCACCACGTAGGCCAGGCTGAAGGTGGCGGCGGGGCTCTCCATGCGGGCGGCGGGCGGGCGGGCAAGGCCGCTGGAGGCGGCGAAGGCCCGGTCCGAGCTCCAGGCCGGGCTTCTCCCCGCGCGCGGGGCACTCTGGGAAGTGTAGTCCAGGGGCCAGCGCTCAACCAGCCTCTGTCGGAGCGGAGCTGCAAAGGACACTCTGCCCGCGGGGAAAGCGCCCGAGGGTCCCAGGGACGGGCACTCGAAGCACGGAGGGCAGGAGCTCCCAGAACCAGGGCCGGATTTCCTTATGAGCTAAGCAAGCTATAGCTTAGGGGAACCCAGACAAAATTAAAGGGGGGGGGAAATCTGGATGTACACTTCCAAAATATAAGATAAAATGCAAATAAAATAAAACCTACATGCAACAACAGTGTTTTGGGTTGTATAGCCTGCTCCCTAAAATATCACTGGTTTGCTCATTTATATATATACATATACATATACATATATACATATACATATATATATATATATATATATATATATATATATATATGGTGCTTACATTCTGCATGGACTGGTTATTTAATAAAGCTATTGATAATTATTAGTAGTTGCACCATAATATGCTAGCCTGCTCCCTAAAATATCACTGGTTTGCTCATTTCTATACATAGGGTGCCTACATTCTGCATGGACTGGTTAATGTTAATAAAGCTATTGATAATTATTAGTAGTTTGTACCATATATTTACACCTATTGCTATTTCATGTTTCTAGAGACTAAATTAAGAGTCTTTGTAAATTGTGTTTCTAAAGGGACTTTTGTTATTGCCAAATGCCAATGTGTTTGCATTATTAAGTTTGATATGAATAAAAAAATCATTTTAAGTTTGAGCTTCATAATTATTTCACTATTAATACGCTTCTTCTTAATTGTATTTCACTATTAATATACTTCTTAACTGCATTTCAGTTCAACCATTACTTTGATAAAATACATCTTTTGTTATGTGCAAATGGCTTTAGATAACTATTAGGTCCATCAATTCCCATATAGCATATTTCTAGTTACAGGTAAGCAGCCGTGTTGGTCTGCCCTAGTCGAAACAAAATAAAAAGGAAGAAATTTTAAAATTTTGCTTCGACATTTAGCCTATGTTCAACACACAAAACAGCGGCAATTTGCTGTTGACAAAGGACAGCTGGACATATAAAGCACCTTATTCCCTGCACTTAGCTTAGGAAATTGCACATCAGGCGGTTGTGCGCATGCGTTAATAATATTAGGCAAGCTCCGCCTCCCCCGCCCTCTGGGCTCGCTTTGCATGCCGCCGCCGCCTCTCCTGGTTGGCCGGCGGCAGGTCACGTGGCCTCTGACGCAACGCGGCAGTGAGCTTTTTTATTGGCGGAGGCGGGCCGACGCTGAAAATTTGAACGCGGCGGCGGCGGTTCCCTCAGTTGGTGAATAGGCTTCTCTCGGGTCGGCGGCTGTGCTTTGGAAGGGAGGCAGGTGAGCGGAGGCGGGCGGCGGTTTCTCCCTCAGGGAAGGCGAGGGAGGGCGGAAAAGCCCCCCCCCTCGGTCTCCTCCCCCCCCCGCTTGTTTTTGGGAAGAGGCTTCGGCGCCGGTCCAGGCCCTCAGGGGAAGGAGGGTGGGCCGTGAGGGACGGGAAAGCGGTTGGAGGGGGTCGCGCCCCGCCCCAAAGGAGGAGGATCCTTCCCTCGCATACCTGTCTGCCTTGGTCCGTCTTTGGCTATTAGGCCTTAGCGTCGCCCCGTTTTTATTCCCTGCATTTTTGACCTCGAGGTGGCTTACAGAGAAAAGGAAGGCAGCTAAAAAGGCGGGGGGCAACATCTCTCTCTCTTTTTAACCAGTTAAACATTAATACAGTGGTACCTCGGGTTACATACACTTCAGGTTACATATGCTTCAGGTTACAGACTCCGCTAACCCAGAAATCGTGCCTCGGGTTAAGAACTTTGCTTCAGGATGAGAACAGAAATCGTGCTCCGGCGGTGCAGCGGCAGCAGGAGGCCCCATGAGCTAAAGTGGTGCTTCAGGTTAAGAACAGTTTCAGGTTAAGAACGGACCTCCGGAACGAATTAAGTACTTAACCCGAGGTACCACTGTACTTCGTATATGCATGCGTATATGTGCATAAAATATACCGTACAGATAATTGCAATGAGAACGGCCATGCTATAGTAATGAGGATAATGATTTATACCCCACCCAGTGCCGGATTTACATAGAAGCTAAACAGGGTATAGTTTAGGGCCCCAGTCTCTTGCCCCCCCCCCCAAAAAAATGGATGTACATTTCCAAAATATAAGATAAGTTAAACAATTGTTGTTGTTGTTGCAACAACAATTGTTGAACTTACCTTATATTTTGGAAATGTACATCCAGCCTTGGTCCGTCTTTGGCTATTAGGCCTTAACATTGTCCAGTCCCCGTCCCCCCCGCATTTTGACCTCAAGGTGACAGAAAAAAGGAAAGCAGCTAAAAACGGGGGGACGGGCGGCATCTCTCTCTTTTTAACCAGTTAAACATTAATACTTTGTATATGTGCAAAAAATATACTGTACAGATAATGGCAATGAGAACGGCTATGCTATAGTAATGATGATAATGATTTATACCCCACCCGGATTTACATAGATGCTAAACAAGCTATAGTTAGGGACCCACTCTCTTGCCCCCCCCCCAAAAAAAAATAAAGGGGGAAAAACTGGTTGTACATTTCCAAAATATAAGTTCAACAATTACTATGGTAAAATACATGTTTTGTTTAGATACCTATTAGCTCCATAAATTACTATATAGCATATATTCAGCACCAAAAACAATGACAATTGGTTGTTGACAAAGGAAAGCTGGACATATACAGTGGTACCTCGCAACACGAATGCCTCGCAAGACGGAAAACTCACAAGACGAAAGGTTTTTTGAGTTGCTGCGCAAGACGATTTTCCCTATGGGCTTGCTTCGCAAGACGGAAACGTCTTGCAAGTTTGTTTCCTTTTTCTTAAAACCGTTAATACAGTTGCGACTTGACTTCGAGGAGCAACTCATAGCACACGGTGTGGTAGCCTTTTTTGAGGTTTTTGAAGACTTTGGTGATTTTTGAAGCTTTTCCAAAACTTTTCTGAAACCGTGCTTCGCAAGACGAAAAAATTGCAAGACGAAAAAACTCGCGGAACGAATTAATTTCGTCTTGCGAGGCACCACTGTAAAGGGCCCCATTACCTTCAGTAGCTATGGGCCTCATCAAACCTAACTCTGGCCCTGACCCCACCCATTGGCTGGGTTTCCCCAGGCACTTTGGGTGGCTCCCAATAGAATATTAAAAACTTGATAAATACATCAAACATTAAAAGCTTCCCTAAACAGGGCTGCCTTCAGATGTCTTCTAAAAGTCAGATAGTTTTATTTCCTTAACATCTGAAGGGATGTTCCACAGGGCTGGTGCCACACCCCAGAAAGCCCTCTGCCTGGTTCCCTGTAACCTCACTTCTAGCAGTGAGGGAACCGCCAGAAGGCCCTCGGAGCTGGACCTCAGTGTTCGGGCTGAATGATGGGGGTAGAGATGCTCCTTCAGGTATACTGGGCCGAGGCCATTTAGGGCTTTAAAGGTCAGCACCAACACTTTGACTTGTGCTCGGTAATGTACTGGGAGCCAGTGCTCTTTCATTAAAAGCAGTCTGTTCCCAAAAGCCTGTTGGAACAAGGTGGTCTTCCCTTGCATATGCCGGCAGAAGAACAACAAGGAGGGAGCCAGTTTAGCTTCTGGGATGGCGTTTGAAAGCCATGGGGAGGCTAAGTGCCCTTTCAAACCACCACTTTCTTTTTTGTTCTTGTACGCCCATAGTGACTCCCTTGAAATGCTCCTGATCCCAGGAGCTAAGTTTCCTCTACTACAATTTGTAATCCCAAAACACTGTACTGTAACTGGCTATTAGTTGGTTAACTTACTTTTATTTTTACAGAGGGGGACGCCAGTATGTTCCTTTTTTTTTGTTTATTCACTTGTAAGGGATATCTATACATGTCCTTGATTTTTTTAAGAAAAGCCCTTCCACACCCACAGTCTCAAAACACCCTAAACTTACAGCCACAGCACCAAGTGAGAACATACCTACATTTGAAGAGATGCTTAATCTTGTTTTTGCAGTATTGCTTTTGGCAGCACAGCTTATACTTCATTGTGGCTTAGAATAGTGTTAATGGTAACCTGAGCGACACTGAATTTTGTTTACAAGAGCTCTACACTTTAGAGAACGGATGAGAAACTGGATTTCTGAGTACTTGCAGGACTACAACTCCCATCATCCCTGTCCATAGGAGTTGAGTCCAATAACTTGGAGAGCCACAGGGTTTGACATTGAGACCACAGGTTTCCTCCTAGAAGTATCCAGTTGCATTAAAACAACGTTGTCGGCCTGGCTATGGTTGTTGACACCTTTGCTTTCATTTCTAGAATGAGTCTGCATACCTTAAGTGGAGATAACGGTAGCAACGACATAGCTGCTGAAAGCTGTGCCATACTTTTCACATCTCCAGAAGTTGTAGGCAGACCTTCTATTCTTCGCCCATCACAGAAAGAAAATGTGCCACCAAAGGGGATGGTGAAGCCTATGAAGGTATGTCTGCTGTTACTGTCCAGCATAATTTTCTGTGTTAAAGGCCTGGTTCAACGGGTTTCTTTGGTGACAAATACCGTATTTTTCGCTCTATTGGACGCAGTTTTCCCCCTCCCAAAATTGAGGGGAAATGTGTGTGCGTCCTATGGAGCGAATGCAGGCTTGTGCCATAGCTGCGCGCAACCCCTCCAGCAGGGAGAGGCTGCGTGGGGCTAAAGAGGAAGCCAAAACAGCAAGCGGGATCCATCCCGCTCGCTGCCTCGACTTGTTCCATAGCTGCGTGCAACCCCTCCGGCAAGGAGAGGCTGCACGGGGCTATGGCTTCTTTAGTCCCACACAGCCTCTCCCAGGAGGGAGAGGCTGCACGGGGCTAAAGGGGAAGCCAAAACAGCGAGCGGGATCCATCCTGCTCGCTGCCTTGGCTTGTGCCATAGCCGCGCGCAACCCCTCCGGCAGGGAGAGGTTGTGCGCAGCCTGTACGCTGCTCTTTGGGGC